CCTCCCTCCCTCCCTCCCTCCCTGGGTAATAACCCTATACCTGCAGCAGTGGGGGCAAGTTTGAGGTGCCCAATAAAATGCTAGTTGCATTGAATGTGTAAGATGGTGGTAAGCAAAGGACAGAGGCGAGGAGGAAAGAAAGGCAACTTGGGAGAATATCGGAAGAACAATTCTCACAGTCAAGTGACTGTTTGAAAAAGGAATGTGTAAATGCTGAAGCCTGAAAGATGATTGCAAATTGGAATGGTTCTTTATGCTTTTTACGGTACTGACAATTGAACCTCGGTCTGACCTCTACACTGAGCAACATTCACAGCCCTTTTTTATTTTGAGACAGGATCTCCCTAAATTGGTAAATTGTCCAGCTGGAGCCAAACATGTGATCCTTCTGCCTTAACCTTCTATGATACTGAGATTGAAACATGCTCCGACATGCCCAGCTGGTTTTCTACTTTTTTTTTTTTTACTGTCTACTTTTTAATTTTATTAGCATATGTATACAATATGTAATAATTGGATTCATCTTGATCATTCATACTATTCTTCACTCTGACAAAAGATGTTCATTGTTTTATTCAAGTAATTTGGTAATATTTTCTTTATAGTCAGTTTAGAAACTTCTCTTGTTGAGACAGAGTCTCACTTTGTAGTTTATGCTGGCCAGACTCAAACTCCATCAGTCCTCCTGCCTTTGTCTCCTGAGTGGTGGGATTACAGGCATGGGTAGAACTTATTTCTAGTGTTAAGTATTACTTGCATTTTTTCATTAATGGACTTTTCAAGTGTGCTTGAGATGGGATGTATAGAACCTTTGTTGACTTTGATTATCAGCTAAAGCAAGTATCATTTCTGTTTAAAAGATGAAGGCCCCAAAGAATAAGCAAAAGCTATCCTTAGACATAAGGCTATTACAGTAAATAGAATAAAGAACATTTATGTATTTATACATTAGTTTTGCAGTGCTGGGGTCAAACCCACGGCCTCATGGCATATAAAGTATTTACTAAGCAAATGCTGTACCACTGAGCTACAAGGGCTGATCATAAAATATAGCATGTGGTAGCCAGGCATGGTTGTGCGTATCTGTAATACCAGGAGGCTGAAGCAGGAGGATTGCTTCAAATTCAGGGCCAGTCTAGGCTACCGAGTGAGTTGAAAAGCAACCTATACTATAATATATAGTGAGACCCTGTCAGAAAAAAATAAATGCAGTATTTATTTTGTTGTTATTTACAGTTTTTTAAAAAATATTTATTTAGTACAGACTTTACATAGTTTGGACGTGTAGGGGTCCTCTTGTCTCAACCTCACCAGCACTGGGATTACAGGCATGTGCCACCATGCCTGGTTTTGGGGCCAGAATGGCATACCCAGGGTTTTGTGGCCAGTGCAGCATGTGGTAGTGGGTATTGAACTCAGATCCTTGGCGCTTGCCAGGCAGGCACTCAGGCCACTGAGTTATCTCTTCAGCCCTACAGTTTTAAATTTTTATTAGTATATATTTACAATACAAACTGACTACATTTGTGGTGGGGGAGTTGGTACATGTACATAACATCGTCTGTGTCTAAGTTTTTAAATTTTATTACAGTATGACACATTGTAAGGTGTGATTAAAAAATAGTGAATGGTGCTGCCCAGGGCCATCCAACAGGCTTGGCAGGCCAATGAAAACACGATGGTTTGTCCTCGTGCACCACTGGTGGGTTCTGGCCC